ACAGTCAGGAAAGTATGTACAATTGTTGTTAATGAAGCAATTTCTTTAGTTCCCAACGCCAATCACCAGCCCGGAAATCGAGCCTTGGAAGTGGCTCGGTTAGGTCAGTAAGCCTGAGTTTTATACGAGTACTTGTATGTTAGCTTATCTGCTTTTTGCAATTGTTGTACATCTAGTTTAGTGTTTTTCTCCTATAACGTAGCTCCACTCCCGATCCTTCCGATACTTTTTCAATGTCGTTACTGTAGACCTGGAAACTGCATGAAATGAGCCGAGTTAAAACGACTTCAACAAACGCCATTCGACTCACTTTTGCCAATTCACAGTTTGGTCGTTTGCAGGTGAACAGACTGGAGCGTCGTTCGATAACAAACGGGCCGAGCAGCGGCGCCCGTCCTCAATCTCAAAGATCCTCATCCATTGACAGCACCGATGAGGACAGCAAGTGCGACGATCCTTCCCTAAGGTTGACCATCGCGCCAGTTTCTCCCACCGAACCTCCCAAAACCTCCTTCAGCGAGCTGGGGGAAAACGAGTTCCCTAAGGACGCGAACATGACAAAAAAAATCATTGTATGACCATGAGGGCTAACAGCTAGGAGTAAACAATTTAAAAATTATGCCGGTTTAGCTATCAATAGAAGGAAGCCTATGAGAAACGTTTGCCAAATGTTGAATAATCACTTAATTAGAGCGCCAATATAGGATTCAATTGTAAATACAAAAATGGTTTTTTGTGTCCTTTGGCTTGAAAAACGATGGAAATCGCTCTTGGTTGTCAGGTTTTCATTGTTTAAGATGTGTCCGATAAAAAATAACAAAAACCGGTTGAAAACAACTGCAAAACGAGCTATAAATGTAATCAGTTTGGTGTTTTGTATGTTGTAAATTATCGAGTTTTTCTACTTCTACTCAACCTGACAGGGTTAAGGGATTTTCCCTCCTTTGCAATCCCCTAGACAATAAATCAACAGTCAAGGGTAGATTATTGTCAGCTGGAAATTGATCATTGTCTCTCTAAAACCGCTTTGGATTGAAAGTATTTGAATTTTTTGTACTTAAATTTTGACAGTATTTGTCCGGGATTGCCTGCAGATGAAATAATTCTGCAGTTTAAAAAGTATACTAGTGATATATTAATTGTTAGATATAGATTTTTTATTATTACCTAATGTTAACTAATCTAATAGTAGTATTAATGTTTGGCTGTATCAGTTAGAGGTGATCATACAAGTACTAAAACGGTATCAAATAGGTAGATAGAGGCGCTTAAAAGCATACAATGCACGCAATGAAAATGGTTGATTTTTCAGTGTTCGCATTGGGAGTTTTAGTCGATTCCATTAGATAATTGTCGTTTAATTAGTCAAAAATACATGTGATTACGTAGTAATATGTCATTTGATATCAATGTCTCTCAAGTCCAATTTATTTATAATTTTTTGTGAAAACTAAGCAAATAACGCAATTAGTCATCACCTAAACTCATTAAAAATCATTGTGTATTATTTTTTAATGTTATGCTATTTATTTAAACATTCCGGCTTCCACGCGGAAAAAGTATTATGTGGTATTTAAACTGTTTTCATTTGTATACTTCCTATATTTGAATAATACTCAAAGTGAGATACGCATATGAAGAATCGGTGTGGTGGTTTAACAATGTCGGTCCATATTGTTTTATTTATGTATAATTTTATCATTGTTTTAAGTCAAAATTTTATTTACATCAGGCCGTTGATGTTGCATTGCATAGAGCTTATTTTCATAAACTTGTTAACTATTTTAATTTGCTAAAACCTACATGTTTTCTCTATTGTTTTATTTTTTACATAATAAATAAAAAATGTTTCGAAAAGTACTACTGACAGTGTTTTATTGCGTAAACAGTGTGATTCAAAAGTATGAAATCATACTTCTAAGCGATATGTTTTATCGGGTTTCCACACATATTCAAACTGGTGAGTTTTTCGGGCATTTAGTGTCCAAAACTCACCAGTTGAGCTTCACAATGTTTCATAAATTTCTGTTCTGAACAATCCCTGGAAATTCGATTGCCTCCTCTGAATCACCCTGTAGGTGTACATTCTATTGCTTAATGCATACGAGTAATCTGGGGTAAATGATTTTGAAATTTTAGGGTTTCCTTATAAGGTCGGCGGTAAAGTCGTCAGATCTGCTCTCTTAACCCAAACTGTAGCCATCAAATTAAACTTAATGAATTTCTCTTATTTCACTGATTTAGGTACTTTTATGCAACTAGAACGTCGTCGCTTAAGTCCGACGACCTTACTTGTAAGACATTTACATGCCACTTATTGAGAACATTTGCGAGTTAAGTAAGTTTTTAAATGAGTATCAAGAAGCAATCGAATTTTAAAACAGTCAACTTCCTAGACAGCATTTTGTTCTCCAAACCACCAAAATACATCAATTAGTTAATCATTAATAAAAAATTGTTTATTAATTAATATCTGCACGTTTCGCCAATGAATCCTCCTAATAGTTATGGGTGCGTTCTAGATGATGGGAAAATAATTAAAATAGCAAAGTATTAAATAAGATGCGTATGTACAAACACTATGATTTGATTGCGTATTTCTTGGGCAAAAATGCTTGCAAGGCATGAATCATTTAATTAAACTTAGTTGTAGTAATCAGAAAAATTTAATATTTTTGATTAATCTTCTGCCTGTTTTGAATAAATTACCATATTACGACACCGATTCGTGGGTTAAGTCAAAAGTACTATTAAAAAACAAAATCGCGACAAATAAATGTACATGGTAAAAAAACGTTTTACTTAATCCTCCCACAGCATTGTAAGCATTTAATTCGATTCACTTTAAACGGATTTTGCCGAATTTTTCCATCGAAAAAGGCGATACGTTAGATCAGTTCCAAATATACATAGCAGTGACCCAGCTGGTTTATGCAATTAAAGCTTTTTAGACCTGCATTTATTGAACAAACACTGGTAAAAGTTCATTTTTAATAAACACTGAACCGATTTCCAGTCTTTGCACTCATCTAAAATGAGAAGTTGCGGTATACTGAAGAGTTTTCCGCGCTTTTAGACGACTGAAGATCTTTCTTTTTCAGGACGGCCTAAAATCCGGAAAAACTCATCAGCTTCTTGCATGAATTTATTTCTTAATTCAAAATTCCTTAGCTGAAGAGAATGACTAACAATGCGGATTTTGTATATAAAATTTGCATTATCAGGACTGGTCATTGGTATTTCAATATCGAAACCTTGCTGACGAATTAAAAATGGTTTAATGTTATTCAAAGAATGTTATACAGGTCGCGTTACTTAACTCCTCGAAATATTCTTCATGTGGTTATAAGCACAAGATAATATCTGTGATGGGCTCAATTACAATCAATTATACGTAAAACCCTCTGGTCATTTTATGGATCGTGGCTTTTATTAAACTGGTTAAGGACGAATCGTGTCAATGCAATTTTTGTAATCTTCTTTACGGATATTGTCGCATTTAACGAGGTATTTTAGTGGATTTTTTCGCATTTACCAGTTAAAGTGACTTTTTGTTGAGAATCTGCCGTGCAATGCAAAGTGAAAGCTTTACTAATATTTTTCGTCGGACTTGTATAAAGAAGGTTAGTTTCTTATGCTTGCAAGCTTTTTCAATTATTTTCAAACGCGCATTAATTGAAAGTGGTTTTCAATGAGCAACTTGTTGAGGAACTTTTATTCATGGACCAAAAACACTTTTTTTGTTACACTTTGTATGTTATTCAGACAACACGAGTCGACCAAAGCGTGCAATATTCGACTTTAGAAAAAGATAAATTGAAACAAAAAACTATTTGAAAACTTTTAAGGGGCGAAATTGAAAAACTTACCCTCGGCTGCCAGTCTGGGTCTTTAAATGAGGAAATACAAAGTTTTCTGCACTTGAAGTTGAATGTAGAAAATGTTCTGCATGACTTTTAGGGTCACCGTTTGACAACAATAAACGTTAGAATGTTCCCAGTTAAAAAATCGCTTGTTTTGTGCAAAAAAACGTTCTTTTGGCGGCAGCAGTGCGAAGAAACATTGACGGAAATGTTCGTCTATCAGAAAATGTCAATTTTCTTCTACAAAACTGAAGAAAACTAATAATTTTATCAATTTAGATTCAGCCACTTGCGCACACTGTTCAATAATCTCTTAAATTATGTCAACTGATTGACGCGTAGCATGGCATCACTATGGCAACCAGGTGAAACAATTGCAGCCAACACCAACGCGATTTAAATTAAATGAAGCAATTTAATGCCTTGTTTATTTTTGTTACCATTTTCATTTAAAAAATGCATTTATACTTTGAGCATTAAAACTGACCAAAAAGACTGAAAAATACGGAAAACATCGGTGCGAAAGAGAAACAATTTTTAGACAAAAACAAAAAACAAAGCAAATTTTACAAAAAACGTTTCAAAATTGGGGATTTGAGAATTAGAAAGGTTTTCCAATGCACAAATTTGTCTTTATTTGCACAGTCAACTTTCAGACTCCCTTGGAAAACTTTGCTTGGTGCGCGTCAATTGTTGGTTCAAAATCGCAATATTTTGCAGATTTTTTGTGAAAAGTGAACGTTTCAGAGTGTTGACGATCAAGTTCGCTCTTTCCAATGAAGTTGCAAGCGTAGTTCGATCTGCCTTAGTTTTTTCAAAAAAAAATTTTTAAACTTCTATTCAACTAAGAAATGCGTCGAAAACCGGTGTTAGTTGTTGGTTCAAAAGGGTGCCAAAATCCCCAGATTTTTTTTAGAAAAATGAAAGTTTCAGAGTATCGGTAGGGAGATTTTGTCTTTTTAATGCAACTGCAGGCTCATTAAGATCTGGCTTAGTTACTTCAAAATGTTTTTTTAACTTGTACTCGACTGGGAAATGCGTCGAGGAGTAGATCAATCGTTGGAGCAAAACGCTGCCAAAATTCTCCAAATTTTTTTTCAAAAATGAAAGTTGCAGGGTTTTTAGAGTGAACTTTGTTCTTTAGAATGAAATTGCAAGCGAATTTAAATGAGGCTCAGTTTTTTTTAAATTATTTTTTTAAGTGCTATTCAACTAGCAAATGCGTCGGGGAGCGTGTCAACTGTCGGTTCAAAAGGCGGCCAATATTCTCCAAATTTTTTTAGAAAAATGAAAGTTGCAGCGTTGTGAGCGTGAAGTTTGCTTTTTCGAATGAAGTTACTTAAGACTTAAGATATGGCCGAGTTTTTTCAAAATAAATTTTTAAACTGTTACTCAGCAAGGAAATGCGTCGGAGAGCGTGTATATTGTCGGTTCAAACGGCTGGCAATATTCTCCAAATCTTTTTAGCAAAATGAAAGTTTCAGCGTTGTGAGCGCAAAGTTTGCTTTTTCGAATGAAGTTACAAACGCCTTAAGATCTGGCCGAGTTTTTCCAAAATAAATTTTTAAACTGGTACTCAGCAAGGAAATGCGTCGGGGAGCGTGTATATTGTTGGTTCAAAGGGTAGCCAATTTTCTCCAAATTTTTTTAGAAAAATGAAAGTTGCAGCGTTGTGAGCGCGAAGTTTGCTTTATCGAATGAAGTTGCACACGCCTTAAGATCTGGCCGAGTTTTTTCAAAATACATTTTTAAACTGTTACTCAGCAAGGAAATGCGTCGGGTAGCGTGTATATTGTTGGTTCAAACGGCTGGCAATATTCTCCAAATTTTTTTAGAAAAATGAAAGTTTCAGCGTTGTGAGCGCGAAGTTTTCTTTTTCGAATGAAGTTACAAACGCCTTAAGATCTGGCCGAGTTTTTCCAAAATAAATTTTTAAACTGTTACTCAGCAAGGAAATGCGTCGGGGAGCGTGTATATTGTTGGTTCAAACGGTAGCCAATTTTCTCCAAATTTTTTTAGAAAAATGAAAGTTGCAGCGTTGTGAGCGCGAAGTTTGCTTTATCGAATGAAGTTGCACACGCCTTAAGATCTGGCCGAGTTTTTTCAAAATACATTTTTAAACTGTTACTCAGCAAGGAAATGCGTCGGGTAGCGTGTATATTGTTGGTTCAAACGGCTGGCAATATTCTCCAAATTTTTTTAGAAAAATGAAAGTTTCAGCGTTGTGAG